CCAGCTAGGAAAGAGGGGTCCTAGTCTAGCTGTGGAGGGGAGAGGGGTAGTGCAAGTTCAATCCGGTTTGCGAGGTCTGAGTGCGCAGTACAAGCGAGGGGGGTCCGGGAGGGATGTGGGGTCCAGCATGGGATGCAGGATCCTAGCCTGGAGATACGGAGTCCAAGTCCAGGATGCGGGGTTCGAGCCGAAGTGCTGGATGCCTCCCCATCCCGCAGCCCAATCAGCTCCAACAGCTCACCCCGCGACCTCGACTCTTGGCGCGTGCTGCTGCCCTCACACTCGCTCCCGGAGCGGGTAGCCCGCCTCGTGCCGCATGAGAACGCCTCGTGGGACGACGGCTCAGACCTGGCACTGTTGCAGCTACGCGCGCCCGTGAACATAAGCGTGGCCCCGCGGCCCGTGTGCCTTCCCCACCCGGGACACTATTTCCTGCCCGGGAGCCGCTGCCGCCTGGCACGCTGGGGCCGCGGAGGTGAGCAGGGGGCCCGCGCAAGGCGGGCGGGGCCGGGGGCGCGTGGGGTATGCTGGCTCAGCACAAGTCCCCTCTCCCCCCCAGAGCCCGCACCTGGCCCCAGCGCGCTGCTGGAGGCGGAGCTGTTGAGCGGCTGGTGGTGTCACTGCCTCTACGGCGGCCAGGGGGCGACAGTGCCGCCGCCGGGAGACCCGCCGCACGCGCTCTGCCCCGCCTACCAGGAGGAGGAGGAGGAGGCGGGCCGCTGTTGGGTGAGCGGGGACGGTGAAGCCTGTCGAAGGCGGTCTCAATAGGACCCTGCGAGAGGCCGAGGGAGCCGGGGGCGGGGCCTAAGAGACTGAAAGCTCCGGAGCAGGGGAAGGAGCGGAGGTGGAGCTGGCGCGCGGTGGGCGGGACTGGCCCTGGAGGACCTGTTGGGTGGGGTACCCCGCTCCAGAGCGGGTGTTGAGTTTTCTCACTGCCCCTGGGTTAGAGGCTTGAAGGTGAAGGCTGAACTCCTATAATGCAAGTTACTGGCGGAGCCTGGCTTGGAGGAGATGGAACTTGTTATGGCCAAGTACAGCAGAATCTGGAGTCAAGGACGGCCCAAAACCAAACCCACTGCGGTCGAGTCGGTTCCCACTGAGAGTGACCCTGTAGGACAGAGTAGAACTGCCCTATAGGATTTCCAAGGGTGTAAATCTTTACGGAAGCAGACTGCCACATCTTTCTCCCGCGGAGCGGCTGGTGGCTTCAATCACCGACCTTTCAGTTAGCAGCCCAGCACGTAACCACTGTGCCACCAGGGCTCCAGGAAAGTCCCCAGGAGCTCTGATATCCTTTCTCACCAGCTGGTTCACACACGCTCCTAATACAGTCTCTTGCTGCAGAACAATTCTCGCTGGAGTCTTCTGTGCCGGGAGGCAGGGACCTGGTTCCTGGCTGGGATCAGAGACCCCTCGAGTGGCTGCCTACGTCCCCGAGCTTTCTCTCCTCTGCAGCCCCACGGCCCATGGATCAGCCATGTGACTCGGGGAGCCTACCTGGAGGACCAGCTGGTCTGGGACTGGGGCCCCGAGGGGGAGGAGATGGAGACACAGACTTGTCCCCCCCACACAGAGCATGGTGGTGAGGAAGGGGCTTCAGGGGTCTATGAAGAGCACAGAAAACCATGACAGTGGGAGGCTCAGGGGTTCCTGAGGATGCTCGGATCCATGGCAGGGGCCTCAGGGGTCAGCCAGGGGCCCTCACTAAACTGGCCACCTCCTCTCCCTAGCCTGTGGCCTGCAGCCAGAAGCTTCTCAGATGGGAGTCCTGTGGCCCTGGCTGGCAGAGGTGCATGTGGCTGGTGATCGAGTCTGCACTGGGATCCTCCTGGCCCCAAGCTGGGTCCTGGCAGCCACTCACTGTGTCCTCAGGTGAGCCTCACCCATCTCCTGGGCAACAGGCTGGGGGGAAATTTTGGGAGGTGGGCTAAAGTTCTCTTAGAACAGTGGGGTATTCTCCCTTTGGGCTCTTACAGCATAGGGGAAATCACTGCAAGGTGTTTTAAAACAGGGGAGAGATTTTGGAGGAGGAATAATGAAGGAGTTGGTGGAAAGACTCAGAGATTCAGTCCACCCTTTACACTGGGCTGGGAAGGACTTTACCAATGATGTGGGGAGCAGGAGGTGACACAGCCTTGGCTTTGTTCCAACAGACTGGGCTCTACATCGGTGCCTTATATCCAAGTGTACCTGGGCAGGGCAGGGGCCAGCCCCCTCCCACAGGGCCACCAGGTGTCCCGCTTCGTCATCAGCATTCGCCTGCCCCGGCACCTGGGACTCCGGCCCCCTCTGGCCCTCCTAGAGCTGAGCTCCCGGATAGAGCCCTCCCCGTCAGCTCTGCCCATCTGCCTCCACTCAGGAGGCATCCCTCTGGGGGCCAGCTGCTGGGTGCTGGGCTGGAAGGACCCCCAGGACCGAGGTGAGAGAACAGGACAGGGACCAGAGCCCTGAATCCTGGAGAGGTGAGACGTGACTGGAGGCTAGAACCCCTGGAACAAACTTCTTTCCTCTTTCTAGTCCCTGTGGCTGCTGCTGTCTCCATCCTGACACCACGACTCTGTCACTGCCTCTATCAGGGCACTCTGCCTCCCGAGGCTCTCTGTGTCCTGTATGCAGAGGGGCAGGAGGACAGGTGTGAGGTATCAGGGCCTGAGCATCCTGGTCCAGGGCGGGGAAAGGCAGTATTGGGCGGTTGGTCTCCAGAGAGAGACTAGAATTGGAATTCTTCGGTGTTGAGCCCCAAATAGGAAGAAACAGTGCTTTGTGGTTGGACCCTGCAGAGACCAGGGGCTAGGAAGTCAAAGATGGAGGAAACAAGAGGTGCTTTATGTCTGGGCCCTAAAAGGAGGTACAGGGGACCAGGACAAAGTGTAACAGACCACTTTGGCCTGGACCCTGACTCTGCAGGTGACCTCTGCACCCCCACTCCTGTGCCAGACTGAAGGAGGCTCCTGGGTCCTCGTGGGCATGGCTGTTCGAGGGAGCCAGGAGCTGTTTGCCGCCATCAGTCAGGAAGAGACCTGGATCTCCCAGACAGTGGGGGAGGCCCGCTTCCTGCCCCCCAGTGGCTCCCCTAACTGGCCCCCTGCAGGCAGTGACCTCTGTCCTCCAGACATGGCCAGGGCCCCAGCTTCCCCTAGGGCTGCTTTGTTCCTGCTGCTGCTGACCCCTCTGATCCAGGGCTGACTGGCCTGGGTCCTTGCGTCACCACTCGTTTTACCCCCTCTCCTTGCCCCCAGCCCTTCACTGGAATGTGGCCCAACCTGGAAAGCACCCCACTCACCAAGGCAGTTTCAGATAATTGGACCTTGGTGCCTGGCTATTTTGGGCCCAGGAATCCTTGGGGGTGGCAGAAGGAGTAGCAATAAAGATGTAAACATTGACACGTGGCTTGTGGCATCTCTGAAGGCAAGCTAAAAGACCCAGAGCATCCTGGGCTAGGGGGAAGCCCCAGGAATCGGCCCCCTCCCTCCTGTGAGTCAGGCCTTGAGCTTCCAGGAAATGTGTCCTTGATAACGTGGCAGCAGTCCCTCATTCCTGCCCCAGGTGGGGGAGGTTAGGCAGCCAGCTGGGTGTGTGTCATCTCCCAGTGGAACCAGCATCCACAGCACCTGCTGGACACCTCAGCCCTAGCTTGGATCCTGCTGCCGTCTCCCCGGAGTGGGAAGGATCGGGGTTGCTGGAGTTTGGGAATCTAGAGTCCGCTGCCATATCCTATACCCACAGGGAGCCCCTCCACATACACACCTGATGAGTGACCTCTCAAATGTACACCCCTGTTGTCCCCAGTACACACATGATACTTTTTACCCTCCAAGGGTCCCCTACCCAGTCCCCCCAGGATCTGGGCCCCATCAGGTGTCCCTTGCATGCACATCCCAATGCCTGATCCATTGCTTACCTGTGCACCTCCCCACAGCAATTCAACCAATATTCCCTGCCAGCTACTGGCACAATTGGGTCGAATATATAAGCCCAGAAAGTGCTCCCAATCTAGTAAGGAACAGATACGGATATCCCTAGCCAGGGGTCAGGAAAGGCGTCATGGAGGAGATGGTATTTGAGCACAGAAAAAGGACAACACCATTTCATAACACCTTTAGGTCTCAGCTCTAGAGGCACTTCCCTGAGGAGTTTTTCATGATGCCAGCCAAGGTCCACCTCCTGTGAATTCGCTCCCAAAGCCCCCCATTCTTGTCCAGTTTTTAATCTGTAATTATTCTACAATTGTTTGTGTGATTATTTGCTTCAAGTCTGTCGCTCCTAATTTACCGTGAGTTCAGGGAGGGGCAGGGACAGTGTCTGTTTTTTTCCCTAGGCCTAGAACATTGTAGGCACTCAGTAAATACTTGTGGGATGATTGGCACTGCCAGACATGGACATGCTCACTTTGACACAGATGAGGCTGAAGGCGTTACAGAGAGGGCCTGAAATGGCCCTGGCCCAGGCCCACCTGGTGTCCTGGGCTCGGATACCGATACTAGGCCTAAGGCAAGAGGAAGGAGCAGCTGTGGCCCTTTGATAATGAAGGCTGGGCCAGGCCCTGCGGGGCATAACTGGTCTGGGAGACCCCGGGGGGAACTGGGAGACTTGGGGGCGATGGCAGTAGGGTAGAACACCACCGGGCTTTCCAGCCCTGCCTGGGAATGAACACCTGGGAGTGTTCCAGGAATGAGGCGCACTCCCCCACCACCGCCCCCCACCGTCCCCCACCGTCCCCCACCGCCGCACACAAACAGCCTGAGAGTGGCAGCAGAAAGCAGAAAGGGCTGAGCAGGGAGGGCGGGACCAGGGGAGGGGCAGACAGGTAGGTGCCTTCCCACTAGGAGCCGCCACTCCTGGGAAGTCTCTTCCTACCCAGGCTCTGATAGCGACTGTCCTCAATGCTGACTTCTGAGACCCGGGGCTTCTCCCTCGGTGTCTGGTCCTTGCCTTCGAAGCTAGCATCAGACCTTAGGTCCCTTCCCTGGTGTCTCTCCCAGGGGCCCTTGTCCTGGGCCATGGCCCGGAGAGGTCTAGGGCCTGGGCACCTGAAGGCTGTGGCCATTCTGCTTTTGCTTGGACTATTCCGATCTGGGATGGGTGAGTATGTGCCAGGTGGGGTCGGGGAGGGCGTGAGCTATGGGGAGGGGGAAATGCGCGGGGTGGGGGGAGTTGGCATAACCTTTTTCTAGGGTACATTACTCCTCCTGGGCTCAAGAACGCCTAGCTTCAGCCTCCTGCGCTCTTGGCCTCTCTCTGCTCAGCCTTGGCCCCCTGTGGGGAGGGGCCAGGCCTCTGGGGGAAAAGCAGCTGCTAAGGGGTCTGGGAAATTGGACTTTCCTGCTTACCGCTCCCTTCTGTGTGTCTCCCCGGGGCTGATAGGGCTGAACGAGAGGCTTGCAGGCGGAGTGGGGGAGGGGCGGAAGGCGGGGACACGGATTCCAATTTCCCTGGTGGAGAGCACCTGACCCTCTGCTAGGTTGTTTTACCCACCCACCTTCTCTCATTTAAATCGCCCGGTAGCTCTGTGAGGGGGATTATAACCCTCCTTTTATAGACAGAGTGGAACTGCCCCATAGGGTTTCCAAAGCTGCAAATCTTTAAGAAAGCTCTTTCATGAACTTTGTACCTGTTATTTTTCACTTAAGGTGTAAATGGCATCACAGTGTGTTCTTTTCTTTTCCTTTATTTGCTCTCCACAAAACTATAAAAAGCCAGAACACTAACTCAACAACTAAAGGAGCCGTGGTGGCACAGCGGTTAAGCGCTCGGCTGCTAACCGAAAGGTCTGCTGTTCAAACCCACTAGCTTCTCCACAGGAGAAAGATGTGGCAGTCTGCTTCTGTAAAGATTACAGCCTTGGAAACCCTATGGGATAGTTCCGCTCTGTCCTATAGGGATGCTGTGAGTCAGAGTCGGAATCAACTCGATGGCAATGGGTTTGGTTTGGGTTTGGTTTTCTGGACAAGGTGTGGAGAAGTGACTCGCCCAAGGGCACATAACCAGTAAGTACTATAGCTGGGATTTGAACTCAAGTCTGACTCTAAAGGTGGGGCTCTCAAGGTCATTTTGATGAGAACAAGCCAAGAGTTTCCTTTTGTCAAAGGCACGCTACGTGGCTCTGGAGTCAGACAGGTTTCCAGTCCTGGCTTTATCACTTTCTGTGTGCTATTGCCCAAGTCCCTTCACCTTTCTAAGCTTCAGTTCCTCACCCTAAATGGGTTATGTCTATCTTCTGGGGCTGTAGTGAGGATTCCATGAGATAAAGTAAGTGAAAGCCCCTTTGGCCTGGCACTGCTGTGAACACTTACTAAATAGTAGCTATTGTCACCATGAGGAAGAGGGAGGAGTCTGGCTGGGCAGTTTCCTCTGCTCCTTGGAAGGTGAATTTGTGAAGGGCAGATAGATAGGCCCTACTTTAAACATCTGCCTCTGTGGGGGTAGGGCTGCCCTGGAACCTTGCCCCCTGAATGTTCACACCATAGGTGCCCGGTTCATGTGTGTCTGAACAAATGTTCTGCATACATCCACAACTCCATCTGTGTGCCCAGCCCCATGCTGGGCACTGGGGACATGGAGATCTGATTTGGCCCCTGCCCCTAGCAACACCCGGGTTGATGTGGCTGAAGCAGAGGCAGTCATAGACACTGAAGCATTTGTGTGATTGGGCAGTGTTAGAGAGAAGCACAGGGGTCTTGGGAGCTCAGAGGCAACACCTAACTCAGCCAGCCAGGGTCAGCGCAGGCTTTCAAGAGGCTGGCATTTGAATAGAGTCTCCATAGGTAAATAGAGTGCCAAGCAGAGGGGGGAAGGGTAGGGGTACTCTAAGCAGAATGATCTGGATGAGCAAAGGTCCAGAGGTGAACAAGTGTGTGGCCTGATGTGTGCTACAGGAAGTGTCCAGAGGGATGGTCAGAGTAGACAGCAATGTCATGGAGGGTATGGAATGTCTCTTATGGGCAGTGTGGTGCCATAGATGGACTTAAGCAGGGGAGTGACTTGGTCAGATCTGTGGTTTAGGAAAAGTCTTCAGACTTGTTAGGAGTGGACTGGATGGATGGCAGAAAGACCTGAGAGGAAGGACGACAGCAAGGCGACAGAACTGACGATGCCTGGAGAGTTGTGGGATGGGGCCAGTGGGGTGGTTAGCTTCTGTGAGCTGACTTTCCAAACTCCAAACTAGATCTCTGTCTGGAGTGGCAGGGCTAAGAGCCTGACCCCTTCCCTTTCTCCCTGGGCAGCCTCCTGCGGTGTGGCCCCCCAAGCACGCATCACAGGTGGAAGCAATGCAGCCCCTGCCCAGTGGCCCTGGCAGGTCAGCATCACCTACAATGGCAACCACGTGTGTGGCGGTTCTCTCATGTCTGAGCAGTGGGTGCTGTCAGCTGCTCACTGCTTCCCCAGGTACCAGATGTGGGGAGGCGGAAAGAGCATGCAGGTCAAAAGTGGGCTGGAGGTCAAAGATCAGGAGTCAGTCCAGGTCAGAGGTTGGGGTTCTTGGGTTGGGTCTGGGGGTATCAATAAAGTCTGAAAAGATCAGTCAGGAGTTTAGAAGCTGAGGCGACAGGTCACAGGATAAGCCTAGGATGCAATTTAGAGCCTAAAAGGTCTTCTGGCCAGGATCAGAATCTGGGGCTGGGTGCCACAGGGATCAGGAAAACAAGGAGAGATCTCCTGAGTCCCAGTCTTTGCCCCTCTGCCTGCAGGGAGCACAAGAAGAATGACTATGAGGTAAAGCTGGGTGCCCACCAACTGGACTCCTACACCCCTGAGGCTCAGGTCCGCACCGTGGACCAGGTCATCCTCCACAGCAGCTACCAAGAGGAGGGCTCCCAGGGTGACATTGCACTCATCCACCTCAGCAAACCCGTCACCTTCTCCCACTCTATCCGGCCCATCTGCGTCCCCGCAGCCAATGCCTCCTTCCCCAATGGCCTCCTCTGTACAGTCACTGGATGGGGCCATGTGGCCCCCTCAGGTGAGGTGGGAACACTGGATGCCTAGAGGGATGGAGGGCACCCTGACTCAGGGCAGAAGGCCCCGTATAAGCATCCTTTGCCCCTACAGTGAGTCTGCTGACCCCCAGGCCACTTCAACAACTTGAGGTGCCGCTGATCAGTCGTGACACATGTAACTGCCTGTATAACATCAACTCCACGCCTGAGGAGCCTCATTATATCCAGGAGGACATGGTGTGTGCTGGCTATGTGCAGGGGGGCAAGGATGCCTGCCAGGTAAATGGAGGGGCCCAGGGGAGCAGGTAAGACAAGTGCATCTTGGAAGATGAGGGCCGGCATAGAAGATAGGAGGCCTGGGGTCTGCGTCTGATAGCTGTTGTCTGGCTTCTCTCCTCAGGGTGACTCTGGGGGCCCACTCTCCTGCCCTGTGGGGGGCCTCTGGTACCTAACAGGCATTGTGAGCTGGGGAGATGCCTGTGGGGCCCCCAACAGGCCTGGCGTGTACACTCTGACCTCCAGCTACACCTCCTGGATCCAATACTATGTGAACGACCTCCAGCCCCATGTGGTACCCCAAACCGAAGAGTCCCAGCCCGACAGCCACCTCTGCGGGAAGCATTGGGCCTTCAACTCTGCCCCAGATCAGGGCTTGCTGGGGCCCATCCTTCTGCTGCCGCTGGGTCTGACCCTGGGCCTCGTCTGCCCATGGCAGGAGCACTGAGCTGCTCACTTCAGCAGACACTGCTGGGAGCCGACCCTGTTGCCAGGACTCACATATCATACCCAAGGATAGACACCTGTTCCCAGGAATGGACCTGACATTTCCCTGACACCCTTTGGGCCCAAGGCCTGACTTGAGCCACTCCTTCCTCCTAGGACCCTGCGGGAGGGCAGGGAACCATCCTGACCTTTGAGCCCACTCTTCTGGGTTTGCTCTTTTGGACTACAACCCAGTCTGAGTTTTACTGCCTAAGGTATTGGCTGGAACCTCTGGCCCCTCCAGCTAGCTGCCCACTTGCTTATCCACAGACCTGTTAGCTGGGCTCCTATGGAGCCCCCAACGATCGTTAGCTATGAAAATGGCCCCTGGCTCTCCACTCTGTTTCTAGGAGACTGGGCAGCTGCCCAGCTGATGCTGCTGAAGGGCTGGCTCCAGTGTCCCTACTTGTCCTGCCTGACAAGCCCCATCACTTCACCCGCTTCCTGTCTTCTGGGCCTGGGCTGCCTCTGGGCAGTTTGTTTTCAAGGACAAGAAAGGAACCAGTCTTGCCCATGGGCTGCCATGCCCCTGCCCTTGAGCCCTAACTCCTGGACTCCGGTGGACTGAGCCCCCCTCGGAACTGGGCTGGGGCTCGGATCTGGGGAAGAGGGGTTAAGAGGAGCAAGGAGTAAAATGTTTTAAGCACAACTGGCTGTGTGTGTGAGGTGAAGTGAAGAACATCTGCTCTTGGCCTCTCCCTCCCACCTCCAAAGTCCAGAGCCACTGGTAGAACTTACTTTATTTGAAAAATGACGAGAGGACAAACAGGTCTGTACATATTTACAGGCTAGGGGACAAGGAGGCATGGGTCCAACAGTGGGGGCACAGGTCACTCACTTCTTGGAGAGTTTGACTTGCTTGTGCTTGGGGGGTGCCCACTTGAGGCAGACAGAGTCCACTGTGGGAAGAAGAGGAAGGAGAGGGCTGGGCTACTCCAGGCCAAGCCTGCTCAAACCTGGCTGTGCTGCTCTGGGCCCAGGCCAGGTTTTACCTCCTCCAGGTGAGAACAAAAGAGCAGATTGAGTCCTGGGGATGGGGGCAGGGAAGCCCAGGAATGAGTAGCCTGCCCCAGGCTGCAGTCCTGAGAGCAGGTCTGACTGGTTTGAAATCATGAGAGTAAGAAGGAGGCCTTTGCTCCCAGTTTTCACACCTACCCCCGATGTCACGCGTGTACTTGCATGCACGTGCACACATAGACACACAACACCCTGGGCAGCCTCCCACCCACCTGTGATGGGTGGTTTCTTATACTGGGCACTTTTGAGGTGTTCCTCCACCAGCTTGGGTGTGACACAGATCACGTGCTGACCCTTCCAGTACTTGACCATGTTGAGGGACTGCAGGGTACTGATGATGTCGTTCTGGGTGATACTGGTCATCTGGCTGCAGAAGGGGATTAGAGCAGAGGCTAGACATAGTTCCTTTGTGGGGCCTGGGATAACAGAAGAGGGTTAGGTGATAGGATCCTGGCCAATCCTAGGGAGCCCTTCCCTCTTTGAAGGCTCCAGGATGCCTTCTTCACAAGGTCCTAGGTGGACAGCATGCCCTGTACTTAGCTGGGGACCAGGACCCTCACCTAAGATCCTTGATGGACAGCGTGCCCCGGAAGTCTCGGAGGATCTCCAGCAGGACCCAAGACCAATAGCTGCGGTAGCTGAGCTTGCCCAGGTCAGACAGCGGCTTCTCTGGGGAGCCTACTGTGCTCTCTAGCTTGGACAGCTCATAGCCTGGCAGTGTTAGACAAGAAGATCCTGAGGACCCTGCCCCGCCACCTCCCACCACAGCTGCCCCCTTCCTGGACAGGCCAGGAGCCACTTACTGAAAGCGATGAGGAACTTCCCGTAGCCACGACGCTGGTAAGGGGGCAGGGTCAGGATGCAAGCCACATTGTTGCCATCTGGGGACTCCTTCTCCTGCAGGGGATGGGTGGTCAGGACCTTTGGGGAGGCTCAGCCCCTACTCTGGTTCACACCCCCCATCCTCCCCCAATGTAGGCTTCCTGGTCCAGCACCTTGGAGAAGTAGCCGACGATATGGGCCCCCTGCCTGTCCACCTCAGTCAAGATGTAAAAGACAAAGGGCTCCACGTCGAAGTACAATGTCTTGTGGTCCAGGAAAAGCTTGGCCAGCAGACACAGGTTCTGACAGTAAATCTGAAGGGTAGGGAAGGTAGGAGCAGGCTCAGGGGGCAGGTAGGACTCTCCCACTGAGCCCTGCTCTGTATGTGCCAGGCTCTAAAGAGCAGCCACCATCAAGCTGGTGGGGAGTGAGCTCCTCACCAGAGCAGCAGTTCTTAGAAGCCGCCTTAAAGAGAGTCCATTGGTGATGGACAGGAAAACTGAAAGCCAGTAAGCCATTAGCACTCAGGGAGGTAGTGGCAGAGCTAGACTAATTGTGGCTGTCACTTTCCGAGTGCCAAATGCAGGCCAGGTGCTTTCCATACATAATCTATTTCAGTGTTCACTGACATTACCTCTGTGTTTCAGATCAGAAAACAGGCTCAGAGGAGGTTAAGTGGCTTGCCCAAGGTCCCATGCCTGATGAGTGCCAGGGGAGGAGTTCAAACAGGTACATAAATTCTGTACTGAAAACAGCTGTGTCCCCAGCACCTGGCACCAGGCTAAGCCATGAAGCTGCGTGCTTGGTAGATGTCAAAAGGACTAGCCTAGAGCCTGAGTCCGAAGCCTGAGCTCTGTCTGACCGTTGCCACACTCCTGTGGGCCTCATTAGCTTCCTTGCTGCAGGCCCAAACACCCCACCCAGGACAGAGACCAGTGTTAGGAGGGACACTAGGACCCTGAGATTGACTTCATAGCACAGATCAAGAAGTCCTCTGGTTTATGATCCCCTTTCACATCCATTCTCTCATTTAACCCAACAAATATGAATGTGGCATTGCTAGTCCTATTTTACGTACGTGGAAACTGAGGCTCTGGGAGGGGAAGTGTTTGCCTGAGGCCTCACGGCTGGTGGAGAGTAGAACTGGGAAGAGGATCCACATCTCCAGCTAGAGCCCCTTCTGTCACTCTACCTGTTCACATTCAGAAAGACAGGCAGCAGGCAAGGGCCAGGCTCAGAGTGGGTGTTTGCCAAGCTCCGGGCTAACAGGTCACTACTCACAAAGGCCATGTTTACTAAGCACCTGTTAGATGCCAGGCACTGTGCTAAGTACTTGACACTTGCTGTCTCATTGATTCCACTAACAACCCTATAAAGTAAACATTATGACTCCCGTTTATAGATGAGAAAACAGGAACAAAATTATTAAGTAACTTGCCCAAGGTCAGCTAGGAAGTGATGGGGTAATTTGAAGCCAGGCAGCTACTCTTCAGCTTCCACTATACTGTCCTTCTGAGGGAAACCAAGACACTTGATTGATGAGACCTTTCAGACCTTTCCAGACTGAGTGACCAGGCAAAGGCCAAATTCTCAAAGACAGCGAACCATCCCCAAAGGTTCCCACCCTGCCCCACTGAACTCTCTGCCAGGAACAAGGAACTCAGCCTATCCTAACCACAGAGCTCTCAGACAGGAATCTCACACAAAGCAGTTCCCGCCCTAAAGAAAATAAGCATCTTTCCTTCAGGCAGAAAGAGAAACACCTTCTAAGAGCAGCCTCAGGCAAGACGATCTCCCACACTGGGCTCCAGAACTACCGCCAGCAGAAGAAAAGCCCACAGGCATGGACCAGAAACCCTGCCGCCAAGGCTGGCACCACAGGGCTGTGTGTTTCTTATGAACTAACCACAGGCCAAGTGCTGGGCTAAGCAAGATCTCACAGGCATTTCCCCCGTGGAGGCTCACCCTGAGGCTGGCCTCTACCCTTTGAGAAGGATCATCCAGGAAGTGCTGGTGCTTCCCCCTACCTCCCCACAGCCCTCGGCCACCGGGCTCACCTTGTGGTCTTTGCCGTCTACCTCATACACAGAGATGTTGCTCTTGCGATAGATCTCCTTCCCTGGGGGCTGCCGCCACTGACACTGGCCCTGGGGGTGGGGATGGGGGGCCATAGGCTTGAGACTCCCAGGCTCTCTGATAAGTGGCCCAACCCCTGCCCCCATCCCCCCAGCTGTATAGCCTGAGTCTCAGTTTCCCCATTTTCCACACCTCACCTGCATGGAGTAATCCTCCCAATAACCTTAGGAGGTGGCTGTATTTTACAGATGAAGAAACTGAGGCACGGTAAGGCTAACATGCCTGAGCATCACACAGCAAGAAGGGTTTCAAGTCCAGTTGGCCTGGCTCTAGAGAGCTCTCATCCATGACACCTGCATTACCTAAACCACACCTCAGATTCCCAGCTTTGGGAAAACAACCCATTGCACTAGTGAGGGCCCTGCCCCTGGCACTCCCAGATCCCAATCCTTCCCATCTGTCTGCACCTTCAAGCCCCACTGCTCAGGGGCTGTGTTTGCTTCCTCTTTTGTACTGAGGAGCCTGGTGCTGGGCTGGCCTTGGCAAATGTGATGAAGAGTAAAGAACCCGAGAAGAGTGTGGGGAAGGGATTACTGACTCCATTCTGTAGGAACAGGAATAGGTCTGCAGAGGGGCAGCGAATAAACCAAGGCCACTCAGCCAGCAATTGGCAGAGCCCAGCCTGGAGTCCAGGTCTCTTGACCCGTGGGCCAGCTTTGCCTTGCGCTCCACTCATCTGGACCTATCTCTACTCGCTGGTCAGCGCCCTCAGCCTCCCTCACCAGGCTCGGCCCCGCCTAGCCCAGCCTGGCCCAGTCCAGCCTCACCAAGTGAAAGCGGTAGCTCTTCTCATATTTCATGTACTTGAGGCAGTACTCGCAGAGCCAGAGCTTGGGCTGTTTCCCGTAGTCTTCAGGGAATGGTGAGAAGTACCAGGCATCGATTTCATAGTTCCCGATATGGATCTTGTCCACATACTTCACCTTGGTGATCTGTGGAAGGGGTGGAAATGGGGTGCAGTGCCGGCTCAGTAGGAGCAAGGAAGGA